ATGAGCACCTGCACCAGGTAGTGGCTTTGTGAATCATTCAGAAAGTAACAATGATAAGACTTGGCAACAGAGTGGATGTGAGGTGAGAGTGAGTAAGTAAGGATTGAGGGTGCCATCTGGTCTGAGAGTGTGGGCAACTAGGAGACTATGGGTACCTTTAATTCCTACAGAGAAGTTCAAAAGGAGAGAGGTTTTAGTATAAACGTAATGAGATGTTTTGTACATTTGAAATATGCAGTGCCTACAAAACATCCAATTTGAGGCGTCCAAAAGACAATTGGTGATGTGACACTATAGAACTAGAAAGATATGAGATATGGACAAAGAAATTTGAGAACCATCTGCATAGAGAAATAAGTGAATTTATGGGGGCCAAGGAGATCACCAAAAAGATAATATAGATGAAGTAGAGAAAAGGCCAAGGAAAGATCCTTGGGAAATATCCATGGTTAGTGAGTATGACTTAGATCAAGATTCAGAAAGGAAACTAGGAAGGCACAATCAATTAGTATGGAGGAGAGAATCAGGAAAGAGCAGTGCCATGGAAGCATAGAGAAGAAAAAATCCAGAAGAAGAGAACTGGAAGGTGCAGAGAGGTAAAAAAGGATGAGGACTGGGAAAAGATCATTAAATCTGGCAATTAAGAGATCACTGTGGAAGCCACTAACAGCCCCACCACTCTTCCTTAGTATGCAAATAAAACTTTCTTTGGAGAAGGAGAGAAAGAGTGAGTGAGTGAGAGAGACAGACAGAGAGAGAGAGAGAGAGAGAGAGAGAGAAAGACAGAGAGAAAGACAGAGAGAGATGAGAGAGATAATTGGTAACTTTGGAAACTTTGGATAGAGTAGTTTCAGTTGAATTATGAGGCTGGAAGTCATCTTGTAGAGAATTATAAAAGTGTTAAAGGAAATAGAAGCATTTATTGTAGACAGCCTTCTCAAGGAATTTAACCACAAAAGGGAAAAGAGATATATTATGAAAGCTAGCAGGGATGAAAAGATCAGGTGAGAATTTCAAGGATAACATAGAAATGCTTTGAGGAAGCAGGAAAAAGGTCAGTAAGTATGTAGGAACAGATTGAAGATTAGTGAGAGAGTGAGAATGATAGAGGGGTCAGTTTGCTAGAGAAATTGTAGTTTGTAGTTTGTAGTCTTTTTGTAGTCTTTTGTAGTTTGATGGTTATTCCAGCAGGTCTTATGTTCTACTGTCATCTTGTAGGAACTTAGCATCATCTTTCCACCACTATGAGATATCAGAATAGGACTTTAGTAGAGAATTTTTATATATATCTGTGTTTATTCTTTTTATACAGCCAATAAGAATGCCATAGTGTTGGGAAGCGTACAGGGGGCAGAGAGAAGACTCTTCACTCAAAACATCAGTGTAGCACCATTCTTTGGTAATGTCCCATACTAACATATTATGCAATGACAACAACTCCATCAAAGTGGTTGGAAATGAGATAAGTTGGAACCACTGAACCATTAAGCCAATCACTTCCTGGTAGCCATGCTGCAAATTAACCTATTGAAAGAAAAAGTTTCTACATCCTTTAACCTGTTAAAGTGCAGAATGCTATAACATCTTCATTATTTTTACTCCCCCATTCAGATATATTACTTTCTTGGAAAAGATATTATGAATTAAATTCAGTAAACATTTATTAAGTGCTTCTGTGTGCAGAGCAATATACTCCAGAAAATTGTCTCATAAGACCCATCTACTTTCCCTACAATACAAAACTAGCACTTTCTTGTCTATAAGTGAATAGTATAAATCAAGGTGTTTTTATGTGTTCATTTTTCCTTTATTTCAAAAGTATTAACTGAAGAATGAGCTCAGTGATATGATAAAATAATGCCAAAATCTCTCAACAATTTCTTTTGCTGAACCATACACTATCTGCCAGTCACCGCACCTCCAGAGTCAGATTAATAGAAGGACAGAATGAGAGAGAAATTCTATAGCTCTCCCATACTTGTTGTCACCAGTTGCAGGTCAACTAGAAGAATCAATCATAACTATTTTTGAGTATCTGCTATGCTCAAGGCACTGTACTGGTATAAGCTACTCTACTGTTGTCACTGTGGATACATAGAAATGGTAATGAGTATAAATCTCTTCATGGAGTGTAACTTTAAATAGAGGAGTAATGGGAGATGGATTGGAAAAGAGTCTGGGAACTCTTAAGACTTGAAATGATGAGACTTGAAAACCACCCTAAGGAATTCTCCCTTTTTCTTGTAAATAAGGGGAAGCCATTGGATGTTTTAATCAGACAAATGATGAGACTGAAGCAGTATTTAAGAATATAATTAAGAATATAGACTACATGCACATACATACACACATATTTTATGTGTGTATATGTGTATGTATAATGTATATGTGTGATTGATAGTGGGGGTGGAAGGATGAAGCAGAGATTGGAGGGTAGGAGACCAGTCAGGAAGCTGAAATACGGTAAAAGTCTAGATGTGAAATTCTAAGGGTCTGAATTTGGGCAAAAAGCAGTAAATACTCTTCAAAACTTTTCATCTCATCAATGCTTTTGTAAATTTGCTACAGTGTCTTCGTGAATTTGTGATGATGACCAGGACACTTTACCCACCAAAGCAGTGGACAAGCCCTATATATCAAAAATGGGAAGAAAATTGGGTGCTTCCAAACCACTCTGAAGGTCTAATGATGGTGCTGATAATAGACCTCTTGCAACACATATAGTATAAGCCTTCATTGCTCCAAAGAGGAAAAAGAAATAAAATACAGAAATGAAAAAAGAAATAAAGAAAAAATAAAAATTTCAAGACATGACCAGGTCACTAGCCTAGAAGAAGGAGGGTGAGAGATGAAGAATCAGACCCATAACCTGACATGAAGGAAGGAATCAAGGTACTACTTAGACACTGACATAGCCTATCAGAGTCAGGTTCTGCATGAAGCTATACAGAAAGAGAATACAGAAGTCCTACATATGTCTATACTTTTCACATTACATCCTGCTCAGTCATGGGTTATGTAAGCCTAGCAAAAATTCTCTTGCCCATTAACAGGATCTCAAATAGCCTCAGCTTCGTCTGAGGGTTGTAGACGAAATTGCCATTCTACATTTCATGCTCTGTTGGGGATATGATGCTCATTGACTCCATTTTGGAAGTGAGGCCAACACTTCTTATTGGGCAGACCAATTTTCTAGTGAAAAAGGTCATACCTTATAACAATAGAAGGTCACATCCTTGATTAGTTATGTGGCCTATTGGGACTTCCTTCTGTGAGACTTTTGTTGTTGTTTTGTTTTGTTTTCTGGGTACCCAGGGAATAAGGTTGGGGTAGAGGTAGAGAGGCATTGCATTATGACCAGAATCTAAATATATAGTTGAACAGGTTACAACATACAATGACAATGTTGCCAAGGACAGCTGAGCTGGCAATTTCCTAATACATTCCTAATATATTTATACATTCCTCATAACCTGATTCTCCCTGACCAGGACTCTACTGTTCATTCTCAAAGGGAAATAACATAAATTCAATAATGTATTGCTTGGACATTATGTAGCTTGTTCGTATACTGTTTTTGTGGAGAAATGTGCTACTCTCTGCCTCACTGATTCAATTCAATTCAGTAAACATTTAAGTGCTTACTCTATTCAAAGAAGTGGAGATACAAAACTTTGAGTGTACAAAGACTAAAAACAGTCCCTGCCTTCAATGAGCTTATATTCTAACATGGAGGAGGAGGAGGAGAATACAACATTTGCACAGATAAGTAACATAAAAAGATATAAAGTACACTCAATATGCCAGCAAATCTGGAAAACTAAACAGGGGCCATTTGAATTGGAAAAGATCAGTTTATATCCCAATCCTAAAGAACAGCAACACCAAAAAATGTTCAAAATACCAAACAGTTGTGCTCATTTCATTATGTTTAAACATTCATTATGTTTAAGATTGTGCGAGCTAGGCTTCAGCAATACATGAACTGCAAATTACCAGAAGAGAAGGCTGTTTTTTTGAAAAGGCAGAGGAACTAGAGACCAAATTGCCAACATTCACTGGATTATGGGGAAAGTAAAGGAGTTTTAAAAAAATCTACTTCTGCTTCATTGACTACACTAAAGTTTTTGCCTGTGTGGATCCCAACAAGATGTGTCAGAACCCTAATGTTGGGAAAGATTGAAGGCAAAAGGAAAAGGGCACAACAGAGGATGAGATAGAAACAACAAACATGAACTTGGATAGACTTCAAGAAATAGTGGAGGATAGAAAGACCTGGTATTCTATGGTCCATGGGGTCATGAAGAGTCAGATATGACTGAACAATAACAAAAACAAATATAAAGTAAATATAAAAGTCTAACAACAAGAACCACTGTTGAGCCCAAAGTGGTGGAGCAGTTCACCCCCTCTATCTCCACTAATGTGCCCATCTACTCTCGATACACACTCACAGTCCAGATTGCATTCAGGAATGATACTACTAACATTTTCATAGTTCTTTAAAATTTTCAGTGTGCTTTACATATGTCTGATGCTCATAAGAACCTTGAGAGATAGGTCTTATCATTATCCCCACTTTACAGATGAAGACACTGAGGCACAGAGACATTAAGTGACATGCTTATGGTCACAAAGCTAGCAAGTATCTGAGGCAGAAATTGAGCTCTGGTCTTTTCTGCACCCTATGCACTATTCCACTTAACTCTCTAGCTGCAATACTAGGGAAGTGTCCTGTGGAAAACTGCTTAATGCTTAGGTTTTGGCTCTTGCCTATGGACATGTATATAAGTAGAAAGATAATCAGTGTACAATACAAACTAGATATAAGTCAGGAATTTATTTCACAAATACACCAAAAAAAATGTCAAACACAAAAATTTACAAAATCATATTGACAGATTTGAAACAATTTAATAGCAACTTTTAACTAACTACTATTATATATGCTTGGGAGTCTAAGACTTCAACATCATAACGTGAAACAGTTCAGGGTACTCTGGAACAACCATTGCTACATGTCATTTCTAATCAGAACTGTCCAAACAACTCTAAACCTTCTGGAAAGGCAGGGCAGGACTTGGGCTCACTCTTGTCTATGATTATCTTCTCCAGTTCAGAAACTCTCCTTTGATCAGGCCTGATGGGTATAGGATCTTCAACCTCTCAAATTCATGAGGATGTGCCTAAGGCAGTGCATGTTTCTCTATGGATTACTGCTCCATCACCTATAATTAGACCAAGGAACACAAAACAGACATGTAAGCTGAAGCTCATCAGCTGAGTCTTGCTGCTCTAGCTGTCATATGGGAGCAGTCGTCACATGGTTGGGATAGAGGAAGGGTGGCCAGTGCCCATCCCTACCTCTTGGCTCACACATTCCCTACCCTTCCAAAAAGGGGCTCAGAAGATAAGCACATACTCTGTAGCCAAGAAGAGAAAGAGAAATGACAGGAAGCAGGTTATTCTCTTTCAAAGGTCCACTGAGTCATCAGCTGTTTTTATTCAGTGGTCAATAAAGAGATTGTTTTGTTACCCTGAAGTTCACTTAGTGGCCTATAGTAATCAACTGGGGACTTCCAAGTACCCAAAATAACCAAGCACTGACCTAGTACATGTCGTTGGCCAGCATTAGGCAAGGAGGTTCTGAAAATGCTCTGAATAATCCTCAGCTACACTGCATATTTATAAGATAAATATAATTTTTAAGGTGAGCACTAAGACCTAGAGAGGCAAAGGAAAAAACAAAACAAAAGAAAACTTCATGTAAGACAAGAATCTTTAATCTTTTTTGTATTAAAGATTCCTCTGGAAGGTTGGTGAAACCTATGGACCTCTTTTCAGAAAAAAAAAAATGTTTTGTTTCCTGCTAAATTTTAATTAGAGGTTAGTGAAAATAAGATGTGATTTTTTGCTAATCCAATTTCACAGACTACCCCCCCCATAAGAAGCCTTGCTGTTAAAGAAGTGTTGGCACCTGAACTGAGCCTAGAATTGAGTTAAAGGTCCCAAATGTTGTAGGTGATAGGCAGAGCATTCCAGGTGTCTACTATCATAATTTGGATTAGCTTACTGATTTATCTTAGAGGATTATTCTTACTATATAAATATTGCCATCTTGCTTCTACAAGGTATATGCTTGGGCTGATTCCTAATGACCCTTTGGGACTCTTTCCTGAATACACTATTAACTTCTTATGCTAAGTAATCCTTGACATATTTATGACCCCTCATTCTAGACATGTGCAAATTTCTGTTAACTTCCAACACGGGGGTTCAGCTGCAGGCACACTAGACTCAAATGCAAAGCTCTAAAACTCTGGGTTGGCTCTCATGTCAGATTGATAGCTCTTGAAAGTGGGAAAATATAGTCAACAAACACCTTGAGCCCCATTGACTTGGTAAGCTTTCCCACAGTATCCTGTCTTCAAGGTAAGTAAATCAAGAGTAGTGACTCATTTAGCCACCCCACACACACACACTCTCCCCAAGACATCCACAGGTTCTGAGCCTGATAGATCTAAGGGCCACTTTCAGCCCACTTCTGGAAGCTACCAAGTAACCAAGAGTGAGCATGCTCTGTACAATTTACATTTGATCTGGTGACCTAGAGGTGAATTGTAGGTGAATTAATTATACTCCTGTGTCGTGTAAAGTAAGTAACAAACTTTTCTATTTCATTCTGAAATACAGTGGAAACCCTTAGGGGAGTCTACTGATTATACCACTGAGGTTTGTATGAACCAACTAGGGTAAATAATTAGACTATATTTTTAATTAATATAGCCATGCCTTCTAGCACAACTATATTTAAGATTATTAAAGTATAGGAGATGATAAAAAAACTTTCGCTACTAATGGAACTGGTAAGAACAATGACAGCTTTTTCAGATTTACAAGAATGTTCCACAAATTTGGTATTTCTAAACCCAAAGTCTCTTGGCATCTTCAAAGGAAGTTTTCACTTCAGCAAATGCTTTTGGTTGTGCCAATGTGAAAGTCTACCAGAAAAAATAAACACAGTGCAAATTGAAGTCAGGTGCCATGCATTTTAAGTTGGCAAAACTGCAAAACTTCAAAAAAAATGATCTGAACTTTATGGGTAAGATGACAATTAACAAAGATTTCTTAATGGGCAAGGTTTCATTTTTTTTTCATTGAGCTTCATAAAAATATAGGCTCATGCAACAGCCAGTTCAATTAAAATATGAACTTTTCATTATTTTTGAAATATTTTGCCTACTTTTAAATGGTGGAAGTGCTAAGTGTTTTACCAACCCAAGAATTTTTCGCACCTCCCTAATTCAAACCAGCTTTGCTTTTATGATTTAGTCAAACAGGGTATTATTCATATTTGCTAGTTCTTCCAAAAAATTTAATGATATATTAAACTAGCTACCATATATGCATTAAGTATTTCCTAAATTATATTACTTTACTTTTAGAACTTCAAGTTACAGTAAATTCACAGCAATTAGCTCATACAAACCCTGGGGGAAGATATCATGGTTTATGTTTCTTTTTTTAGCCCGTATCACCTTGGTGCTAAGCACATAATAGAATATTGATGAATATATGTTGGTTGATTTTATTTTCATTCTATTAAATAACTTTCTGCACACCTACAAAAGAGGATGGAGTAATAATTGATGCTCATAATGAGGACCCCAAGACACTGTAAAATGCTAATGAACCTTATAAATAATAAAAGGAAAATTAAATGATATTCCATAATTTTAGCATTAAATGTAATGTACCTTCTTGCACATCATGGGCAATTAAATATAACATATATATATATATACACATGTATATATATATCAATGAATTATTCTTTTAAAAATGTTAAGCTATAGAATTGAAACATTTTAGAACTATCAAGGACTTTATCGTCAGATACATCTATTCTCTCCCCACCAAGATGAGAAAACTGAGGTCCATGGAGGTCCAATGAATACCAGTAGTCTCACTTTTCCTCATCATAGGATCATAGATTTAGAGTCTGAAGGGACCTTAGCAGCCCCTGAGTCCAACTCATTCATTTTAAAAATGAAGTGACATAGAGAAATTAAGTGACTTGACCAAGGTCAAACAGTAAATATCTGAGGTGCGATTTGAACTCAAGTCTTCCTGACTCCAAGTCTAATGCCCACTGTTTGTACTAATAGAATAAGTTAATAATAATAACTATCATTTAGAACTTAGTTAAGACTTTCAATGTGTTAGATAATCCTTTATGGAATATGTGAGTCTACAGACAGGATTCATATGGGATGAGAAGGCATTGAGGTGTTATTATTTAAATCAGAGGAGAGATATTAATAGTATGAAATCACAACTCTGTCAAGGTATCAAAGAAAATGTCTAGACCTTTAATCACACCCTAGTACAATGTCTGGGACATGGTTAGAATTTAATAAATTATCTATTTTTCTTTCTATGTATCTATCTATCCCTACCTACCATCTATGTATCCTCTAAGCTATTTTGTATTCTCTTTTCTTATTATCCTTATCTTTCCCATTGACCAATATGACATCATTTATAAAACTGATGAACAAGTTTTCTATTCTGTCATTATCATCATCATCATCATCATCATCATCACTCATGGAAATATTAATCAATGGATCCAAGACTGATCTCTATGGAAGCTTAGCTTAATAATGACCAACAATAATCATCGTCCAAACATCTGTTCACCTAAACATTATTTTTTCTTGTTCACAGATGACCACATCACGTAAGACCAACTCAAAGGTCTTGCCAAAAATCAAACTTTGTTGCACTTGTTTCCTCCTTTTACTCTAAAAGACTTTTCAAGCTATCATACTCATTCCCAATAGGGAAAAATCATGTTGGTTGGAATTGGATGAACTCTTTAAGGCCTTAAATAAATTTAATTAATAACCTCCCCTAGAATATTAATCAGTACCCTAGTGGCTAGAAGGATGATAACTCCAAGAAATTATTGAACTTCTTCACTACTCACTATAGATCTATTAAGAACAACTCACTGGTTCTAAATAGTTCTGAAAAAGCCAGCACTTTGTAATGGGTATGTTCAATATATTTTTTTTAATTGTGCATTCGTCTCTATAGCTTAAAACTAAGCAGAGAAGTAACTGTTTCAATAAATAACCAAGCTTAAAAATCACTTTGGAAAGATACTTAGGAAATAATTTGTCCTTGCCATTCATTGCTGTCAGAGCTATATATAATAGGGTGAAGTGAAAGAGCTTTATTCCCAGAGGATGGCATTTAGAGGATACAGACAGCACTTACAGTCCTTCAGTAATGTAGAAACAATTGAGCTTAGCACCTACTGATCTAGAAAAATTAGTTTAATACTAAAAATAGGTAGCAGCCAGGTAGCAATCTCCCTACCACAGGCTACTGTTACCTATGTGACCTAGTTGAGATTTTTTGCCAACCTGACACACTCCCTCTCCCCTTACTTCTCCCCTACCACCAAAGTAGCCTTATGGTGTTGAGAAGCAGCATAGTATAGTAGATAGAGTGCGGGACTTTAAAGTCAGGAAGATTTGGATTCAAATCCTGCTTGAGACACTTACTAGCTGTATGACCTAGAACCAGTCATTTAACTTTTTTAAACCTCAGGGGTTTTTTTTGCCTATAAAATGAAGGAGTTGGACCTGATTACCTTCTTTAAATCATTAATCCTATGATCCTACCTCACAGGATCATGGTCAGGCTAAAATAAACATTGTATCTGAAGTGCTTTTTAGAGCTTAAAGTAATGTATAAGTGCCAACTCTTCATATTATTGTTAGGCCTATATTCAGAGCTGTCCAGCTTAGCTGAACCTTCTAATGTATGTATGAACTCTGACTCCAGAAACTCAGAGTCACCTCCATATCAGAATGAAGGCACATAGGCTTCAGAGGAAGACTTTAGCAGAGACAATATAGTATAGAAAAGTAAGCGTATGGGGCAGCTAGGTGGCGCAGTGGATAGAAATCAGGAGGCCCTGAAGTCAGGAGGACCTGACCAAACACTTGACACTTACTAGCTGTATGACCCTGGGTAAGTCACTTAACTCCAATTGCCTTAAAAAAAAAAAAAAGAAAATGTATTATTTCCAAAAGTCAACTTTGTATGTATATGAATATATGTATACACACATATATATACTGCACACATATATGCATATATTGTTGTAACATAAATATATACATACACAAAATATATAGTGCAGTATTAAGCTTTAGTGGCTTAAATATCAGGAATTTACCCTGATACCCTGTGTGTGTAGATATATACATACAAATGTGTATATAGACATATACACACAAATACACACTCATACATATACTTATGTAGACACATATGCACAGATAAATACTGTATGTATAGATAGTATATACACAAATATATAAAACATACATGTGTAAATCTAAATGTATAGATATACATATATGTATGTATTCTTATGATTATAATCTGTCAATTCTTCAGTGAAGGATAGGATAGGAAGTTTTTTTTTTCTTTAAACATGGAAAACATTTATAGTATGTCTTCATATGATATCCTGAATTTCCCTTTCAAAAAGTTTAACCTCTAAGATGTTTTTTCTTTTTATTTCAAGCAATATAAATTTTCCTTTTCATAAAGAACATGCATATTATTGAACAAAAAACAGAGGCAAATAAAGCAGAGGGGTATTCAAGTAGAATGCAAAAACTATACATCTATAAAATGTTTCTTATTAGTAAAAATATTTACTCTTGCCTCTAAGACAAGATTACAAATTTTCCAAAGTCGAATTTCCTATCTTTTTATTTTAACCTCTGTTATGCAGAACTGCTTTGAAAGATAATGTGTACACAATGACCAGTCTTCTCCCTAAAGGAATAACTAATCCTCAAGATCTCAGTAAAAGCCAGGGCCTGTTACAAAAAGCAATTCCTTTTTTGGTTCATATTTTAAACACACCCTTTTGTATAAAAACAGGTCCCCTCTTTTTTCCTTATAGGGACACCTGCACTTACTCTCTCACAGAAGCAGCATTTAACCACCTAAGCTGCTGTTTAAGAGCACTGAACCTAGGAAAACATTTCACGTCCCATTTCCCTTTTCTGAAGGCAGATCTCTGTGAGTACAAAAGTACTGTAGAGCTAGAAAAGAAAGAAGATTTGCTGGCCTAATAGAAGTAAACGGGCTCTGAATGACAAAGGTGAGTCCTTCCCTTCATACCCCTATTCCCAAAGGGAATTTGATAAAAATAAACAAACAAATAAGAGAAGAGAAAGGCAAACTAGGCATCTTTTTCACTTTTGAAGCATTTTTAAAAGGATCTCAAACTTCCTGCAAAAATAATTAAAGGGAAAGAAATTTTAAAAGAAAATGGAAAAATCAAAACCTGTTCCCTACCATTGCTAACTCTCCCTGAAAATAATTCTGAGGAAATTATTCTCTCCCTCTTATTTATCCTAATCTTTTTCGTAGAAGCTCTCATAGAAAGGAGTCATTGTTCTTCCTTAGTCATATAGATTTCTGTTTGTAAGTGCCATTGTCCTGAACTGTTCTTTCTTTTGTTCTCTGGAGATGTACATAGTCTTTGGTTCTGGTTATTTTAAACAGTTTATGTCTATCATAGACCACAGAATGAATGAATTCCTGTGAGTTTTTTCATTGATTAAGGGAAAGGAAGAAAGGCTTTAGTTTAGAAAGAGAAAAATATATTTGTGCAACAATAAATCCTTTATCGTAACCCTCTGGTTATTTTTAAGAAATTAAGTAATCACTTTGAAAAAAAAATATTCCACTGGGTTATTATCAGATCTGTGCTACTCATGGAAAGATCTTGAGTTTTAGGTAAAAAAGCATCCTGGTCTGCTTTGCTTTCTCCTTACCAGCCCCTGTTTTTTGGTGTTATTTTTCAAACCCTCAGGGAAATGTGGCTTTTATAGTAACTGAGAGTATTTACCTATGTCTTCACTTCCAAATCACCATCAGCCCAGAGCAGAGACCCTTATATTTACTCTAACACCTGCAGAAAGAAACAAGAAACAACAGGAATCAGAGTTCACATTAATCTTTCCAGTGGTCTTTCATTACTTTGCCAATAAGACGATCTTCTTCACACCACACTTCGATATATTTGACATCTGTCATAAAACTCAGGTCAGGCATATCTGTCTCGTGTTAAAATAAGTCATTCTATAGAGACCCTTACCCTGCAGTTAGGGTCCTGCCAGATATAATTATTGACATATTGTCAACACATCCAGCCTACCATATTAATAGGAGCCATAAATTACCAGTCCTGTTTCCCTTGTTCCTAGCAAAGAAATAAGGTAACACTTAACAGGACCAGAAAAAGAAATAGAGATGTTAAAAACCAAAGTGGCAGCTGTAGCCAAAATGATTGACTTAAAACTAAAATCTCCCTTTTAATATCTTTGGAAGGTTAGTCGTCATGTCAACACACAAGTGTTTCCAACTGGGGAGGCCCTCACATTCTTATCAAACTCTGCTTACATGAATCTTGTGTTACTGTTGAGCTTATGGCCCAGGGGAAAGAGCATGGAGGTGCAATGTGCCAACCTGGAGTTCCCTTCGAGGCTCATGACTCATTCTCCTTTGAGGTATCTTTCTGACTGTCAAGAGGATGTTCACAGATGCCTTTCAACATAAGCTGTTGCAAAGGGAAAATAGTTTCAAGTAATCATGACTATTTCCTAGAGAGGAGCTTTAAAAAAGGAAAAACTCTGTTTCTCAAAGCACTGCCATTTGGAGAGGGGAGTACTCCAACTTTTCTCACAATGGCTGTTACAATCAAAGAAGTTACAACTTTCCCTTCCCCCTTTTCACATGCTGTATGCTATCTATATACTAGTTCTGTATCCATGGGGAGAGGCTATGCACATATATACCTATCATTATACTAGTCTTCTCTTTCCATTCAAGCAGGGAAAATGTGGGCACATCTACAAAAAAAAAAAAAAGATTCTGAAATATTGTTGACATTTTTGCAGCCACCTTGTTTTTTCCCCATATGTTTGCAAATGCCTCCTTTCAGAAATATTTGCCGTACAAGTTACATTTTAGTAGTTAAGATTGCATCAAATAAAATGTTTGCTGAAATAAATGTATTGTTCAGAAAGTATTTTTGGTGTTGATAAAGCTAGTGACTCATTTCTGGCAGCTAACACACCTACTCATGCAGTCCAAGAAGTTTCATGGGCAGAAAGGATGCACAGTTTGGGGGACTCCAAATGAATGAGCTCAATAATGAAATACTAGAACTAAAATGCAACTTCCAGGGTGACTCAGATCATCAGAAGAGTCCTGGCAATAACTCATTTGTTCCCTCACTCGGTTATAAGGAACAGACTTAAGCAAAGCCTAGAAATGTCAACAGTTGAGTTTCTTGGTGTTTGGGGAGGAAGGGTGGGGGAAGGGCAGGGTGGAGATAAGTGCTCAGAATGCTGAACAAAGGGTAAGGAACCTGGTGTGTCAGGTTGACCTTGGCTAAGTCCTACCTAACATTCAGTACTTTATTACCTACCTGATAGCTTTGTTTGCACATACACATACACACCACACACACACACACACACACACACACACACAAACAAAATCTTCTTGTGTCCAATATAGATCAGAAATAGATTATGTTAGCTGGTGAAACTGAGTAATGTATAGAAAAAAATAAAGCCTCTTATAACCCAGGAAAAAAATTTGTTACTTTGTCTTTGGAGTGTAGCATTCTAAAAATGAAACTTAAAACATCTTTGTTGGCAGTATTCTTGTAATTAGGAATAAAGATTTATTTGGAAGAGATGATGTAGCAATATCTAGAATGGAAGATTAACTGTACTAGAGGCAGAGGAAATGACCTATTTCCTCTTGTCCAAGAGCCACTCAATTCAAACTACCCCAAAACTGTCAGTGGATTTGAAATCAGTGGAAGTGGCTAATTTTATGACCAACAATAACATTGATGGTTATGGATGTTAAGATAAGGGTAATGAAACTCATACTTTTAACTATAAGCAGATCATTTGCAAGGTTCAAGAATACTACATAGCATATGGATTTTGGAATATTACCCCCCACCACAGTCAGGATAAGAATCTATACTCATCATCAGGACTCGCAAATCTCATGCTCCTATGAGTAGTATATTTTGTGGGCAGACCATTTTTATCGATTTAAATGAGCCTCAAAAATTACAGATATAACTAATTCCAAAATTTGGTCTAGAAAAAAACTTTCTTACTAGTATTACTTCTGAGTCTTCCTAGAAATGGAGAGATTTGTATTTCTTAACTGGGTGAAGTTTCAATCCATTAGCCAGTGATGTTAGCAGTGTAACATGGTTCCATGTGTAATGGACTGCTAAAGAGCACATTCCTGCTAAGCAGTCCAAGATATGCTGTGAGGAAGAGCCTTTCACATGTGTTCACTTTCCCTTTCATGTGTAAAGCACCTCAAGAGGATTATTTCACTGGGTTTTGGTGCCAATGATAAGGGAAGGCATCCCATGAAGGATGTTCCTTTAGCACTGGCAACCATCAAGTGATTGTCATACTGTAGAACATTAAGTACTTTTCACATCAAGGCTTTGGCATGTGGCTTGCTGGAGAAAAAAAAAAATCTATTCTACTGAATGTCGTCCACACATAGCAGATGTACTGTAGAAGAATTATGCAACCATCTTGCCAGATTTCAATATGATGCCTGATGCCCGTCATTGGTAGGAACCAATTGGTGGCTCTTTTAATATGAATGAATGTAAGACCACACGTTGTTTCCCCTCCAGAAACACCCTGCCTCTATCACCTAGGCAAAAGAACTCTTTTATCTAGATCCCAGGGTAGAAATTGGTGATAGTTTGTACCAATATAAGTAGTAAAGATGCCTTATACCTAGAAATGCTGACTTTTTCTCCTTTTTTTTTCCTTTCCTTTGAAGTAACAGGATTGTTTTTACATAAAGGTTTGTAGGCAAGGTTTGGAATGTTTTTATTAATGTCACATTCACTATTATTATTAGTGAGATTGTGTTTTAGTTTTTATTATATTTAGCCCTCCAACCAGGTGGCTAATGTTTAGATTATGTGCAAAAGACAAATCATTTCACCTGAGTTGGAAATGTTTAAATACTCTTAGGACCACACACTTCCAGAAAGTTGTTTGTACCTTCTTAAGCCTAAATCGAGTCTGCCTGCATGAGTGCCTGTGGGTGGGGAAAGACTGGATACTATTACCCTGATGGAGGATGATAATATTTCTACCAATTGTTAAGCTGCTTAAATCTCTTCTCCACTTCAGGAGTGTTTAGCATATCGTTTTCTAAAAATTGTACTCAATATGCCTTAGGAAAAGTAAGATTCAATACTGTGTTCTTGTGAGATTATCTAGGACTAAGCTGCCAGGCAAGAATCTCTGTCTCACTCAGTAAGTCTCTCTATAAATGCTCCTTTTTAAACCTCTCAGGGGGGAACTGGGTCACTTGATGTTGTTTCAGTGCATCTGGAAAATAGTTATGGGGGGGGGATGTCACAGCTCTTTGTGCAGGGTTTCAAGAGATTGCATGAAAACATGGATGTGACACATAGCAAATTGTATAAAAACATCCACTTGTTTGTAACTACCCAAACTAGTCATTATCTGCTCTTAGTTCAAGTAAGAGGTGTCTGACAAAGATACTGAGATCAAATGTATCTTATTGCTCCTCCAAAAGCTGAAAATCATTTTCCTGATGTATTTGGAGAAAGCAGAAAACCTAGTTGGTCCTAAAGTGAATGTGTACTTTATGTCCCAAATGAATTCAAACCTGGAGAAATTAATGACCAAAGTAGAACTAGGCAAGGAAGCAATTGAATGTGAGAGGCTCCCTACAATAAGGGGGAAAGGAAGAAAGTGAGAGTCAACCAAATAATATGGGAAGAAAGAGATAGAAATGTCAATCACATTTGCAAGATAGCCAAAATGATCTACCAGAAGAAGAACTTTTTATAATTTTTTTTTTAGATATTTAGATCAACCTTCTCCTAAAATTCCTCTGTAGGAAAAATTCAAGGTTTTTAAGTTGGACAGTACCATTGCCCTGAACCTAAAACAGTGGATCTTCTAAGTGTCTTGGCTAATGCTGTGTGGTTCATACTTTTCATAAAATATTAATTAAAAGAGCGCATGAGCACTTTTCATTACAGGATACGCTGAGACTTAAAATAACTGGTTCTTGATGGTAGTCAGATTGCATTTTACTTCTTTCTTAGCACAAGATGCCAGGCTGTTTCTTCAAATTAAGACAATATGCTTATAGTGATGAACCTTATTGGCCATCTATCTTCCTTTTGTAATCTGGCTCTCATCAAGCTGAAATGAAGCCATTTCTTCTGACTGTGGCTGATTAAACACAGAGTAAACCTAGATCTCTGAGGAGGCTCTAATGATTCTCCACAGAGCTAATGTCGGCCCAGCACCTGCAGCATTCCACTTCCCCACTTCCATCATAAAATGAAGCATCTGTTACAGTAAAGTGTTACCTTTTTATCATTCGCTGTATCTTTCCATTTGCCTTTTCCCTTGCTCGTTTGGTATAAATTGTTGCTGTTTTGTCTGGAACAAATGGTCAGTAAAGAAATTCTATAGTTATTGGGGCTTAACCAGAATACACAAAGTTTACGATACCTGTGACTTGGGTAAATATCCCATGACCAATATAAAGTTCTCTTCTTTAAATAAAAGTAGGTTAAGTAGAAATTAAGGTAAATCCCTTCAAGATTTAGTAATAAAAGTATACTTCCTTTCTGGATCAACATATCATTTCCGATACTTTTGTATTGTGCATTAATTGTTTTTCCTTTTATTCATTTCACCAAATGCTTGATGCTGTCTAGGTGAACTCCTGAAGGATATAATTTCCATTTATTGATATTTTGGGTTAAGGTTACCATTTGAAAAATCCATGGAAAAAAATACAATAAAACATATTATTAGTTCTCAAAACCAGCTGCAATCATTCATAAACCTAAGAATAGCCTCATCTTACCACTTTGAGAAGAGGCCCTTCTTTTTCTCCAGGGGTGTAAATTTGGGCTATTCAAAGCACAAGATTGATCATCATCATGCCCAAAATTGTAAAAGAAAAGAGATAAAAGTTAGGCCAGGCAATATTCACAAAGACAAGGCAGTTCTGCTTGTATAATAAAGATTTCATAGGGACTATTGGAGAACACACTGGCAATTGAAAATGACCCAGAATAATCTAGAAAAGGCATAGAAACTTTTGAAGATAGAGCAGTTTTATAGATAAAGTAGAGGATGTGGTCATTCAGAGTTTGACAGGCTCTCGGTTGATTTTTTAAATTGTTATCATTTTTCTTGCTAATGGATATAATACAGATAGGAATATGACTCTTACCTCAGAACTTATTATTTCCTTTCATTTGTAAATATTATCATTTGCTGTTAATTTCATAAGCTTCCATTGCCAGTCAAGTATATTAATATAAACAAAATAAAAAGACTTAAAGACATTCAAAGGATTCTTCTATATCTTGCTTCAGAAAAGATATTGACCAGTAGGATTAAATGAGGCATAGTAGGAAGCTAATGACATGGACTTGGAGTCAGAAAGATGTGAGTTTGAATCCTGCCTGTAACACTTAGTGTTGACCCTGGGCAAATTACTTAATTTTTCCCTTCCTTTTCTTCATATGTAAAAGATATGATGATAATAATATCATCTACCTCACAGGGAACTTACAAAGACAAAATGATAAAATATAGGTAAATCCCTCTGAAAACCCTAAAGAACTATAAAAGTGTAAATTATTATTATTTATATTATTTATATCAGTATACTTACTAATTGTCCAACAGAAAGATTTCATTCTACTCATTAAAAAAGTCCATCATTCCTCCTTCACTGGGGAAAATATAAGCATATCTCATATGCAAAACTCAAAGTTACTTAATCGAGCACAATACTAGACATATGGAATATGCTTAATGGATACTTGACAATCTAATGTACACTATTCTTATTATGTCTTTGGGCAGGAAGGTAGAAAGTTAGTCAAACAACAAGCACTTGTTAAATGATTGCTTTGTACGTACGCAGCACTGTGCTAAGCACCGAGTATAAAAAAAATGGCAAAAACAAGTCCCTGTTCTAAAGGAGAACAGTCTAATGAGGGAGAAAGTATGTTAACAACTATGTACTACAAGATCTATACCAGATAAATTTGGGAGTGGGGATAGGGGTAGGCTGAAAAGACTTAGAAGCAAGGCATTAAGATTAAGGAGGCCTGGAAAAGGCTTCTCCCAGAAAGTGGAATTGTAGCTGAGACTTGGAGCCAGGGAAATTATAAGGTGGCAATGACACAGGAGAGCATTTCAAGCTTGGAGGCAGCCAATGAAAATGTGTGAAGTGAGGAGATGGAGTGTCCTGTGAGAGGAAGAGAAGGGAGGCCAGAGTCACTGGTTTTCAAAGTACATAGAGGGGAGTAAGAGTTCTTAGGCCAGGGTTTGTGAACTTTAAAATTGTATTTCAATACAATTGTTTCCTTTTAAGTATTATGTATTTTGTTTTATGCATTAAAAAACATTGTTCTGAATAGGCTTCACCAGACTGCCAGCAGAATCCCTGATACAAAAAAGTTTAAGAAACAATGCTTTGGAGGGATGAATCAGGTCAAAAGATACTGTCTATTGTCTGACCAACGGCAAACTAGAGTTGTGAGGTCTGAAACTCTATTCATATTCACAGTGGCAGACAATTCCAAAGTAACTTTTTTTTTTTTTGTAAAATTGATCACTTGGGTTAGATACTTAGCATCACTGGTGAACTGACTAATAGTTTGACATCTCTGCATACTTCAGCTATTTAATGCAGTCTTTTCTTACTTTGTGCCTCTCATACTTTCTCATTCTATGCTTTGTTATGATTATGTGTACACCTGTCTCATACTCCTCTTCCCCTTTATTAGATTGTCAGCTACATGAAATCAAGATCTTCTTCACTGTTGTTTTCCCCTTAACACCTAGCACATTGACTTACACAGAAGAGGTACCCAATAAATGTCTGTGGAATTAAATCATATTGAACCAAATCCATTGGACTAAAAACTATTGGAATTCCTCTAGTGCAGGTCTATATAAGCAGGACTAGCACTTATGTGATCTGGGAAATCTCATCAGGGAGTTTTATGGTGAACCATATGAAGGCTTGATCACAACGTATTTGTCACTGTTCACTTGCTGGCTCTGAAGACAAGATGCCAGTTCTAATGGAGAAATCCTGTGTTACTTTCTTCGATGCAAAGTCTGCATCTCTGGGTCCTATATAGTTAGCCTGTGTGTCCATCATTCCTTCTTTTTCCATTCCAAAGTGACTATATATGTTAGCAGTAGTTTGATTTACCAGGTCAAACTATGACTACATTAATTTATTAGGAGTTTCAAAAACACTAAAAGATCATGTTAAAATAGTGCTTTAAGATTTGCAAAGTATTTTACATTTACTATCTCATTCAATGCTCACAATTACCCTAGGAGATGGTTGCTATTTCCTAATTTTACAGATGAGGAAGCTGAGGCTGAGAGAGGTTAAGGCCCCACAACTAGTATGTGTCTGAGGTGGTACCAAAATCTGTGTCTTTCTGACTCTACACCCCATGTTCTGTCCATAAAAACACACTTCCTCTTATAATAAGTGAAATGTACATATTATTTTAATATTCACAAAATGCTTTCTGTTCATTATACCATTTGATCCTCACAATAGTCTTTTAAAGTAGCTGCATATATGAGTAGCCCATTCTACAGATGAGGGAATTAAGACACATTGTGATATTCTCAGAATCACACAGTAAGTGTCGGAAATGAGATTTGAACTCAGGTCTTTTTGATTTCGAGTACACTAATCTATCTCCTATGTCAAGCTGCCCCAAAGTATATGATGGGAAAAAAATCCATTTACATGGAATGGTTTGTGCTCTTATCTACCTCACCACATAAAGAACTTTCTGCTGAATACACATTCAACAGATACCTACTGATTAATTAGTTAGTTTTTCATTTCTTCCAGTATTTTTCCACAAGTTCAATATAAAAAAGAATATTAAGTGAAAAAAAGACAAAAACGGAGGGAACAATTGCTCCTTTTATATGAAAGTTCCATATAAGCTAACTTAGTATCATATATTCTGCGGATGAATCTGGGGGATGTCTCAGATTATATATATCTACCTGTATAATTCACACTTCATTGGCCAAGACTAGTATTTCATAAATCTACCAGATCATAGCCTTGACTGACAGAAGTCATATATCTTTAACACAAAGTAAAGAATTTGTGTTATTGAGTAAAGGTTTTTATCGAGAACCAGGCCCATTTGACATTTCCTCACCACTACTTTAAATGGTACTTACAGCATAGTCAGAAATGCATTTAATCCAAAAGGGGAAAAAATCTCTGGAATTAGGAAACAGAACCTTCCTTTCTTGCTTGGGAGTTGTGGTAGAAACAAGCTTCACTTCATCCAAGGCAGGCTGAAGCTTTAATGGTAAGAGAAGATGAAAATGCATTTATTGCTGCTGTAGTTCAAAATTTCCATCTTACTACATTTGAACACGGATTTGGAGTTTACTAAAATAGCATCAGTTCTGCTGCCAACAAGATCATATAACCTTAACACAAAGTAAATATGAAAGTAAAAAAGAAATGTAACCTTTCTTAAAGTTCTCTCTATGCAAATATCATGCAGAAGTCACTGACTATAAAGCATTCCTATAGTTCTTCAATATCAGAACCACCTCAACAAGTTATTATTGTAAGTCTGTCCTTTGGATTTTTTTTTTACACATTGTAGAGTCTATGTGCCTGCATGGTCTCAGTGAAGTTCTCTAGTCTAATATCACAGGTTAATAGTAGGAAAGCCTCCAAATGTCAAATTACAGGGAAAGGATACAATGTCTCCTAACACTTCCAGGTCTCTCAGAAATTTTGAACCAAATTCTCATGCTGCCTTCAAGTCATTTTTCAAAACAATCAAAGAAATTAAATAGAGTTGTGCCTAAGATGTGGGTAGGAAGATATTCAGTTATACTAGTCATAGTTAAGTACTTGCTAAGCATAAACAGTTCAGTTGTTTTGTTTTGAGTCTTTCTTTGGCATGGTACAGAGAAAATTGGTCCTTTATGTTACTCTGACTGCATTTCGAATTTATAAAACCTCAAAGTTATGGCTCATTTTAATATAATGATTGATATCTATAGCTATTGACTGATCTTTAGGTACAGAATGTGGCAGATGCTTTGTGACCATGCAAAGGACCTAGAAATAACTATTGGTGATGAGAAAATACAGAGGTGAAGGTGAACCAAAGACACAGGAAATCATCAGAATTCCTTAACCATTTCTATGCATTTTGATATCAGAAAGTATTTAATGTCACCTACACAACTAATAAAATAAGAGGAGAGAAATTCTGATCAAAATTCAGATTCCTCAAAAGTATACTGATATCCCTATTATACAAATGTATTCAGATCTCAAAACAATAATAATGAGGAGGAAGATGAGGAGGAGGAGAATGGTGATGATGAAGATG